GCCTCAATTGACCATGCTACAGGTGGGCCATATTTTGAGAAGAACATAATAAGACCCCAGTTGGGACTGCGAGTCTTCTCCTCCACCTGGGCCAGTCAGACAGTTTAGGTAAGGGCCATATCTTGATGGAAGAGCTCATGTGTTGTGTGCAAAATCCAACCATCAATCCCCAATATCTCCACTACAAGGACCTCAAGACTTGATGGAACTAGAAAACTACCCACATTGTTGGGGAGCAGCTTCTCTCAAAATGTCTAATATTAAGCCAAATGTGCCCACAAACTCATATTTCTTTTGTGCATTTTCCATTTTCTCATAAGAAGATTGAACTGTAAGTTAGCTATGTAGGAGGAAAGTAGATGCTATGGATTTTGATATATTTATATCCTGCACATCCTTATTGAAGCTCAGGGACAGTTCAGATGCTCTCAAAACACCAGTATACACAATATCCCCATGGATACAGCTGTGTAGTAGAAAGAAATTGACTTGGAGTGAGAATGCAGTCTGAGAGGTGTTGTTATTAGTACCCTCACACAAATCACAAGAAACATAAAACACAGGTATTGCCATGGTCACACTAAGTTGGATGGCACTTCCACCATGAGGTTGTGTCTATGGAGTTGGCCATGGCAGGGGGTTGGACTGGTTGGCCCTTGTGGTCTCTTCCAACTCTATGATTCTATGATCTCAAGGGTGCACCTGAACAGCTTTGTTGAGAGTCTCCATCCTTTCTCTTGGGCAGGGATGGATGAATTTTGTCCTAGTGAAACCTCTACAGAAATAAGTATTAGGAGCTCCCAATCTATTTGCTAGGTGTTCTATCAATACTAGACTAGAATCTGTCCCAGGTTAGATGAGAGAGAAAAAATGGTGAGAGGTCTTGGTATCATTCTGACAAGTGAACTAATTCTGGATTCAATAAATTCCTTGAGATTTTCTCTGTCTCTTTATCATAAGTAAATAGAATTTGTATCTTCAGAGGTAGAATGTTGCCAAATTCTTCTATTTCTGAAGTAGAATGTGGGGTACAGTATGATCCCCATAAACGTGAGACCGGTACCCATGGTTTCACTTATCAGTGAGATGTGTCTGAAAGAACATAGTCTCTCTCTCTAGGCATTTAGAGATCCTCCAATACAACTCTGTGGTCAACATCCACTGGAAGTGTAGGGTTTGGTATTATCTGTGATTTTTACTATCCATGGTAAGTCTGTGAATGTACCCTACTGGACTATTGTTTCTATGTTCTGCCAATGAGCTTCTTGGAAGCATCCAAGATGCTCTTGAAAGTATCCAAGACAGTCACTTTTGGAAGCAGGGGGCTAGACTGGATGGCACTTTGATCTGATTGAGAAGATTTCCTCTTCTGTTCCTATGGAATATCTTTTTGACATCCCACCTCATAGACACCACATGGTAAGGTAAAATCAAGAAGCAAATTCATGGAAGAAATCTGAAGACATAAAGTGAGCCACACTTGACACATAGACCTGGATAGGACCATGAAGACAAACTCAGATTGGTATGTAAAGAGATCTTGTAGCACCTTTGAAACTAACTGAAAGAAAGAAATTAGCAGCATGAACTTTTGTAGACTTAAGTTTACTTTCTCAAATGCATCTGGAGAAGTAGGCTTGTCTGAAAGCTCATGCTGCCAACTTTTTTCTTTCAGTTATTCTCAAAGGTACTACACAATCTCTTTACACATGGATCAAAAATAAAAATAAAATTTAAAAATTGCTAGGTTATTTAGATACTCCAGATTAATTTATGTTGTACAAAAGGAGGGCAAAGTTTCTACAGTTACCACTGAATGACTGAGGAATATCTGAAATGACTGAGGAATATCATGGTCACCAGACAGGGATAGCTCCAGTTTATTCAGTAAAAAAGATGAATGAAAGTAAAAGATAAACCCCAGCCATGCTTAGACTTTGAGGCATATGAGTAGAAGCCCCAACCAAGTAAACAAGAACTGTGTCAGACTTTTGCTGGGATCAGGGAGAAAAGGTGAGTCTAGGATGAGGAATTTCAGGATAGGCAGGCAAGCAGACCAAGAAACAGGAATCCTAGGGAGATAGCCACCAGGATTAGGGCAACAAGATGGGCCAGATGAGTCTTACTCAGACCCAAGGGCAGAGAGCAGGCAGTAAACAGGGGGAACTGGAGACACACACTAGAGACCAGGAGCAGAGCCTGCAATCCAACACCAAAAGAAGATAGGTATATATAAAAAAGAGTTAATGAAACACTTTTAGTTGCATTTGGTATCCTTACAGTAAAAGACCAAGCTAAGTTACAGAAGACAGCCAAGTGCCAAGGAGGTGTGGTCAACACAAGTTCTTGCACTTGCCAGCAGCTGACAACAGCCTTTATGGTCAAAGGAGCAGAGAAGAACTTGGCCAAGGCCCCGGTCCTCATGACGCTGACAAAAACAAACAAGTTCACTCTTATCCTAGGCATGTAATAAAGGATAGCAACAGACAAGGAGAACATACTAAGACCAAGTGGAGTCAGGCCATGGAAATAGTTGCACCAGTCTATCCATTAATCAACAAAAATGGGCAGGCTCACCCCACTCTCTTGCAACAGGGGAGATGCTCTAGCATTTTTGGAATTTAAAACATAGGAAAAGTGGAGAGCAAGACCAAGAAAGATGCCTCCATGATTGTCTTTCATTTTAGCCCTTCAGGAGAGAGAATAGCCCATGTTTAAAGATTGGTCCTTGCATGCTCCAAGTAAATTAGCTTGGATTGTATTATTATTATTATTATTATTATTATTATTATTATTATTCGTAGAATGAAATGGCAAAAACCTTTTCTAGAAGGTGCAGGTTCTTCATGGGATATGCAATCCTCTACAATTATTATTATTATTATTATTATTATTATTATTATTATTATTATATGTACCCCACTTTTTTCTCCAAAATGAGACTCAAAGCAGCTTACAGTCTAAAAACACAATACAATCAAAAACTTACAAAAGAGAAAATTAAACTGGAATTAAACTATTATAATATTTAAACAAATCATTTGTTTTATTTATTTTTCAATGTAAAGACATTACCTCCCTGCAAGGAGGAGTATTTAACATAGAATCATATAGTTGGAAGGGGCACAATGGGCTTGGAGATCAGTCCCCTACCATGGAGGAATACACAACTAAAGGACCCATGAAAAATGGCCATTCAAGCTCTGTTGCAAGACCTCCAAAGAGAGAATCCACTACCCACCTAGACAGCTTATCCCACTATCAAACAGCTCATAGGGTCAATAAGTTCCTTGTAATATTTGGGCGAACTTTCTCTGAACATATTCTAGATTGTCAATAACCTGCTCGCACTGTAGTGGCCAGAACCAGACACAATATTCCAGATGAGACAATTCTGCTCCATCCCCCAATATGCAGAAGCTGTATGTGTGTGACATCTTTCTTCTTCAGACTGGTTCATGCAAGAAGGAAGATAAAGCCAAGCTTGAATAAGTTTGATACCATCTTTTTAAGAAATGGGACCTGCAAATAGGAATAGAAGACTAAAGAGATTGTAAAACTACATATTCCAGGATTCCATAGGATGGAGCTACAGCATTTAAAGTGGTGTCAAACTGCATGATTTCTAAATCCCAGAAGATTACACTTGCTGATCCTTGTCTTGAGACTCAGTTTGTCTGATAGAACGAACCTTGCAAGTATTCAGTTCTTCTCTTATGAGAAAACAAACTTGATACCTAAGGACACAAAATTCATTGCAACATTATTTCATGCTGTTCATTTCAATGGGGGTTGCTTGCCTAGAGAAGAGTCCTACTGGATTTTCCTCCAAAACAGCTTCCAACTCAGACTGCAGAACACCAGAATCTTACAGAATTAAAACACCATCAGAATGAATTTCTGATGCAAATGGAACAAGGAATATGTCTTTAATTTTGAGCTTCTAGTGGGAAGTGAGGCAGGGGAGTCTATTTTTTGCAATCCTCTTAAAACTGCAGGTGCTTCTTGTATAAAATCCAGATCGCTGTATCCATTTCAGCCACTTGGTGCTACACAAAATTCACTTTATCATCTCTGCCTCAGAACACCCACAATAAAGCTCCTAGTCTAGGTGATGGCAAGGAGATAACATGCATTGCAATTCCATTCCTCAAGCTACAAATATTTGGTCCTAGAAGAACCTGGATAGGAGACTGGTTGCCTGAGAGGCCATCACAAATTCCTCGGTAGAAAAGTGAGTATACATGTAATAAAAACAGTACATCAAAAACACCTGCAAAAGTCTGATTGCAAGAGGATGTGATCCAAAATTTGCTGCTTTAAGACCAAAGGCAAAATTATGACATTTCAATCAACAGCAGTGTTTCCATTATTGGGAGGAGGCAAAGGGCTATTAATAAATCCATAAGGCTTCCCCCCAACTTTAACAAAAAACCATTCCTTCTCTACACCCTTCAGTATTTATTTATCTATATAAAAAGCCATCCAACCACTATTGCAAAATGTAGGGGGCCAGACCCTGTTCATCTTACTGCCCCCATTTTTAAAAATAATTTTAGCTTGTGTCTGACTGGAGTTACCATCCAAGTTTCATCCTTAAACCAATCTAGGAGCTCCCAGAATTCAAATTCCTTGGTCATCAGCTGGTTATATTCTTGGGAACAACCAAGCCAACTGCCAAGGCTAACTGCACTTTTGCTGTAAACAAAACACAAAGAGAATTTTAGAGTTCAGGAGGCAAAACATGTGAGACATGTCAAGAGAAATAGTAAAACTGGAGAATATTGTCCAGAGAGAGATGGTTGTGTTTCTATCTAGATTGTTACTGAAATTTTGTCGGCGTTGTCAGTGCATGCCTTCAAGTCATTTCCAACTTATGGTGAGCCTATGATGAACCTAGAAATTTGTTTTCTTGGCAAATTTCTTGAGAAGGGGTTTGCCATTGTCTTCCCCTGAGGCTGAGAGCATGTGACTTGCCCAAGACCACCCAATAGGTTTCATAACCAAGCTGGGAATTGAACCCTGGTCTCCAGAGTTATACTCCAACACTTGAACCACTATGCTACACTGGCAAATTTGAAGCATCCTGTTCAAGGCAAATATCTGAGAGAAAATGTTTGGCAAAGACAAAAGAGGGTCTAATAATGATGGGAGGAATCACACACACACACCCCTTCCAAACCAAGCCCACTATAATTTCAGCAAACCCTGGTCCCAAATGACAATAAAAGAAAGGTTTTGACTTGTAGATAAATCTTTATTGACAAGTCTGGGCCTATTTCATAAAACTTTCCTCTCCCTGCAAACAAAATCACTCCATTTTGGAAATCTTTTCAGGGGACACATACAGAGGGGTGAAAGCATTCCCTTGTTTTAAAAGATGAGAAAGCATGCTGACAAGAAGTTGATGCTGATGGCCTCCTTCAAAATTGCAATTGTTAGCACCTTTAAAAAAAGGTGATGTGCAGTGAAACCAGGGTCTCTCTCCTCCCTCCACTTCTTGGCAAAGTGCATACCAAAGGAAGAGGAGGGATGGTGTTCTGCATTCATTGTTTGCTGGACAAAGTGCCATCATTTGCCAAGGATGATTTGTTATTGAACAGTAGTCTTCTTGCAAAAACAAAACAAACAAAAAGCAAACAGAAAAACAGAGGAAAGAAACAACCACCTCTAAATGTGAATCTGATGAAAATTTGGCACAGTCCAAGTTTCAGCTGATTTGGGAGGTCCAACATTTTAGCTATCTCAAAGCATTTACTGGTTATCCACCATATATATATATATATATATATATATATATATATATATATATATTGCTGGATCCTTCATTTCCCTGTACACTCATTGTGAGCTTTCTCTTTGTGAGCAGGAAAATGTCCTCACTCCCATCATAGCCAGCTAGGTTTCGATTTCCTTCTTTTTCTAAGGTAGTAGCAAAGACAAGGGTTGCTGATCTGCTACACTAGTAGACAATGGGTGCTGAGCTGGTCTGCGGTGTTACGCTCAGCAGTGATAACTTGAAAGAAAACACCAGAAAGATGTTCAGTGCTTCCAAGTCCAAAGGTTCAGCCTCTTCTGACAAATCTTAACTATTTTAAATCCACCAAAAGGAGAGGGAAATGTACATTTTCTTCGGGACGCTATTTCATGGCTTCCAAACATTATCAGGAATATCCAGATGCATAGTTCTATCTCCATTGATTCCCTCCCTCCTCTACTGCCATTAAAAGCAAAGCAGCAACAATCATGGCAGTGGAAAATCATGGGCATCAATTGTTCATTTTGTAAAAGGAGGGTGGGAAATGGAGGGAAGGTGTAGGTTGCATATGTTAGAGTTCTTTGTACCAAATACAAGTCAACATGGAAGGGTGATACTGCAGAACAAAGGGCTACGGGGAAGCCAAATGCACCAGGCTTATAGCAAGTAACAGGTGTCTCCTCAAGAGCATCACAATGACTTAAAAAAATAAATAAAAGGAGAACCAGACCATCATTACTTGAATATCCCACATAAGGACTCCTCCATCCTTGACTATTGTTCCATTCAAAGAGACCTGCTTCTCTCATTAACCATGCTCCTATACAACTGAAAACGCCAGCAATGCACCTTATGAGGTAGCTAATTATTCACCATGTTCCTTACCCTTAAATTAAGTGCATATTCCCTCCTACATTTAGGAAGGGCCAAATGCAGCTTTTGTCTGATACCAAATTTTAAACCATCAGTCTGTGTAATGCACAACAGGTTGATCAACAAGCTGTTATGCCACCCTTCCTAGATGAGTCTACTCAGGGAATTTTAGCCCCAGTCTCATGAACTTGGCTAGCTGGGACTCCTTTCCGGTTCTGTTTCTTGGGTATGTCTGATTCCATGCCAGTGTGCCTTCTATACAAAATCCACAGGGCCCTATTATTTTGTATATTTTGTGTCTCTCCCTAGGTCTTTCAGAGAAACATCATCCACACTTGTGAACGAATGCAGTTGCAGAGGACAGATGGACTGGCCAGGAACCAGTTCACAGGAACAAAGAGGCATCCATTGGGGTGAGGAAAATGCTGTGAGATGTGTATGGCCCAATGTCATTTTTGCAAGTGACCTCTGGAACACACCCATTTTTTTTTAAACATGGGCAATTTTCAGGTGAAAGAGATGTCTAAACTATGCAACCCTCTGTAGCTTTGTTTCCTTCAATCTCCTTAGCCCCCCCCCCCCCATGCAGTGTCTCACCCCTGGTACAAACCATTCCAACCATTTATATAGGTCATATGAGTTACTTTTTTCCATATACTATGAGTTGGGACAAAATCTGTTGCCATCAACCTCTGCCTTTTTGATAGTCACCATCAGCCTCTTTTCTATATATATCAGTTCTGTGACATTTTCTACTTTCAAGACCAGTTATATAGCACTTGGCACAGTGAGTTTTGAACCTACACCATCATGACACAAGAAGGAAAAAAAAAACAAAAAAACAGACTGGTACACTCCATGATAGGATCAAATCATCCTTGGTGTCTGCTTTATTGGACAGGCAAATGCAATCTAATTTATTCCCAAAGCTCAGAAGGGTGTCCAAATTTTGTTTTGGGCCATTTGAAGCCCCCAAAGGTCCTATATTTTGGCCAAGTGGCATTGTAAATTTGAACACATACTCTCTGGATGTCAGGTATCTACAAGGCAGAATGCCATTCCTGTCTGAATGAGTCACTTTTAATTACCATAAATGCAAGCCACACATCATCAGAGATGAGTCAGCATAGGTAATGTGTGTATATCTATACATAAAAACAAGATGTACCTTAGTGAGGCATCTAACAGTATAGTTACATTTATGCCCAGCAGTGTGCGGCGATATTGTTCATTGCTTTGGGAGGGGCGGTGCTCCGCAATAGCATCCTTGTACTATGCAGGTGCTTCTTTGTGGTATCTGCTCTTTTGCAGGAGGAACCAAAGGCAGACTGCTCCTATTGTGCTCCTGTCTGTGATGCACAGACCATGGCGCCTGCTTACAGACCCATGCCCTTGAAGGAGAAAAAGACCCTCCTCCTCTTAGCCTCCCCCCTTCCCCACCATGACTGTGAGTCCCACTCTGATCTTGTTCCCTCCCGTGGAAGATTACCAGAAACTTTAAGGGATGCCATAGAGCACAGCAGAGGGCTTCCTCAATTACATCTGTGACAATGAGGTGGGAATCCATGGCTATAATTGGATTCCAAATTAAAGATGTAATCGGAAGAGGGGGGGATTGGTGGTCTCCCAGACTGCTCCTCCCGGTTGGCAGACATGTTTGTTTGTTTTCTAATCCAAAAATGAAGTTGATGGGAGGGAGAGCAGGGGATGGTGGATATGGGAAAGAAGTCATTTCCCAATGAACCATGGCAGAAGATCAGAAGCAAACTCCAGGGGACATGCCCAAACTATAAATCAAAGCCATGCAGATGTTGAATTGCCAGCAAATTAATGATAATGTAGTGCACTCTATATATTTTGCAATGTTGCAAAAAGAAGATCAATGATTGTGGACCTCATTTTCTTAATCTACGCTTTGTTTAGTAATAGCATTAATTAGCATTGGGAAGTTGTACCTGCAATGTAGGTAAATGACACAAATTTTACAAATTGCTAATCATTTTGTGTTAGATAAAGAACTATCACAAAGGGGGCGTAATTGATAAGCCCATGAATCCTACTAAACTCAAACTGATTTTTTTTATTTTTTTGTCATCTGGAAATGTATAGGGTTGACAAAAGATGTAATCCTTTGACAGTTTCCAAGACAGTTTGCAGAGTTTAATTTTACGAGATCTATTTTCCTCATGGTTTCTGGAGGGTGGCACACAAGTTTTGTTGGTGCTAATTAGCTATGAATACAAATGCTCTATTTAATTATCTCAACTTTTTGTGACGTGAAATACAAAGCCATATCACACACTTTATCTGCTGTTAGTGTTCATTCTTAATGATGCCTTTATAGTGAGTGCCTTCCTTTGTTCTTCCCAGCAAGAGTTTCATTTGTGGAGAGGGAGAGAGTACAGAAGAAAAGTGAGAAAATATATCTTTAAAAAAAATAAAAAATAATTAGATAGCATAAATTTACAGAGGGGATAGTTGCTGGAGAAAATCAATACAATCAGAAATCTGGATCGAAAGGTTTGCAAATACAATCTAGAAAAATTAAGAACTTCAGTAAGGAAGAAGCAACAGTCTCGACTGTTCTTCTAAAAAATGTAAATTAGCAAAGAATGCATTTAACAAGAAAGAGGTAAATTATGATAATTACTCTGACTGATAGGGTCCTTGAGCATTACTAATTAGCATTTATTGCCTGGATTATTGAAACAATGTGTGTGTTCTCTAGAGTAAAGGACCCAGGATGGGTTTATAAATTCTTGCTCTGAGCCATGGGGTGAAAAGACCAGCACAAATCAGAGAACAAAACTGCTAATATAGGGACTTCTCTTGTAAGTCTTATGGGCACTGCCATATAGGAAAAGCACCAAGTCCTGCCTCTGGTTGCTCTCTACATTTCACCTTAATTATTATGTCTATCACCAGATCTGGACCGGAACAGGACAAACAGTTTAAACTTAAGAGGAAATGTCACCCTCCCCTCAAAAATTAACAGACAGGGAAAATATGTATACAACTGTGTAGCAGGGTCAAATGTATATGCACGAGCCATTAGGAGAAGGGAACATGAACATGGCCAGTTTTAAAAGACAAAACGAAGAACGAAATCCAAGTCATGCATTTAAAAACTCCAAAACGGCTGACATTTTTGAAAATGGTGACCTTGAGACTAATAAAAAAGCCTCTAGACAGACCCAAATGGACCTTCATTCCTCCCTCGCCCAAGAAAAGCTGTGTTTTGTTTAGTGCCTGGAAAAGGGTTGTAACATGAAAAGAGCTTAAAATTAGAAATCAATTAGAAAGAAATCAATCATCTCATCAGCACCAGCCCTTCCATTGTATGTCAGCCTTCCATTTGATAAAGGGCCCAAGAAAATACTTGAATGCCCTGGAAGGAATTGGAAAGAGAAAGATAGAGAAGCTGTGCTCCGTTTTAGCTTT